CTCTTGTCTTCCACAGGCAAGCATCGCGCATACGCCGTAGATCTGGAACATGACAGGCTGCCAATCCTAAATCCTATGAGACCTGACTGCCATTGCGCTGCTCTCAGTTTTTGTGCAGCCCTTCCCCCCTCCGGCCGCGAAAAGGCAGTTGTTCTTACGATGCAGCTAGACCAGAAATTGAAACTTCGGCTTCCATCCGTGAGCCAGGAACCCGAACCCGCGGGACACCAGCATCCCAGCTACAGCCCAAACATAAGCCCTAACCAATATTAGTACTTAGGGTTCCGCAAGATAGTCTACTAAAATGCAACCCAACCTCCTGTCTTAAAACTTGAGGACCTTATTTTAGAGGGTGGGTTTCTGTTATGTTGTTATGTTAGATTACCACTCACTCAACAGCCCAGGTGGAGGCAGCAGACCCGGTCAGGGAGGGGCAGCCAAAAGGAGACGCAGCCCTGATGGCCGCCGAGGCGTTCCAGAGCCAGGGAAGTCCGGCTCAGGGTTCTAAGTTTTAAGGAATGGGGTGCAGGGTTGTAAATGTTGGGGATATGGGGTTTTTCAGAGTTTGGGGTTTTGTGGTTTTAGCTTTCAAGGTTTTGGGCCGAAGGTTTCGAGTTTAGTGGCTCCTTGTGATGCTTTGTGATTTACCGGTGTAACCTATGGCTGTGGGTTGGATGCATTCACTCTGGAAGACAAAGCGCTGCAGTGCATAAACGGGTTCTACTATCGCTTTCCCCACAGGACAGTTAGGATTCAGTTGGGATACCCGGTTTATACATCTCCCGAATTCCGAACGCAATTGTCCAGGTTAACGTTGGCAAGCCTAGGCTGACGTCTGAAAGCCAGCTCAAGCTCCTAGCTGATGCTTTTGCTGCCTCAATAACTGACCCCGCTCACTCTGTTGGCTTTTCTGCAGCTTATAGAGACAGAATCACTAAATCACCATGGGCCGCAGAAGAGGTAGAGGAATGGGATGGTTGGAGCTACTAAGCGTGAGTTTCCGGAACTGTGGCATTCCAACCACACCGCCACCGCAAGATCCCTTCACCACCAGTACATGGGCATAAGACGAAAGCTTAGCACCTTTTCTTTTGGGCAAGCGCCAAAGTGCGCCAGACAGCATCCAAAAGACAGGTTTCACGCTGCATGACTACAAGTAATGTTGCAGAGTGCGGTTTTGGGTGCAGGACGTAGGGTTCAGTATGTGGGAATCTGGGCTTGCATAGACCGTTCCACGGCTGAAGTCAGAAGGATCATACACAATCCCGTCCCTGGGGCGCCATTGTCACAGCTGGCGTGCTCGGTTTTGTCGATTCAGGGGTTTCGAAGAGTGGGCAATTAAGGCAGCAACTTCAGCTGCTGGAGATTTGGGTACATCTCCCATGGCTGCAGAGGTTCGGACCACAAAGAGCTCAGCAAAAGCCGACGTTGCCCGGCAGCACTGGCTGCCTTTTCTGTCCAGAATCTCTGCGTGCTTCCATCCTCCAGAATCTCCAGAACATCCGAGATTCACACAGGTTCACCGGATTCTTTGACCGTTTTCAAGAAGATGCGAACTCCTGTCTAACGTTTCTTCTGAGCAATTCCGACCCCAGTCCCACATTCCGAACCTGGCCTCGAAAATATAAGAACTGCACAAGTGAAAGATCCTCAGCTCAAGCCTGTGCCGCGGACCGCGGACGCTTGAATCTGTAGGGTTGAGGGTTTAGGGTTTGGGGTTTAGGGTTTAGGGTTTTCTGACCCAGCCTGAATGTAGGGATTTGGCTGAAGCCCGGAGTCGTCTTGTTGCTGTTGCTGCCGTGGGATGTTGGGCTACGTCCGCAGGCAGCCGAAGCGGACGTGGAAGCAAAGGAGGTTCTGGCAGCTGTGGTGGTGACAGACACAGCGCCTGCTGAGGCATGTGCCGTTGCTCAGTTTCTGTTCATGAGGGCGCGCCGCATCAATTTGCTTGGAGGCAGCAGGCATACCGGAAGCAGCTGCTCAAGCCCAGGGAGCCACTGCCGGGGCCTTCGGCACCGACTTGAGTTGTCTCTGTGCAGTTTGGGCTTGCTCGGTTGCCGATTAAGCCCTTACGGCATTTCGTGAAGGCCTCTTATGTGCACGTATTGGTAGTGTGCTGCAAGCCACTGCTTTCAACCTTGCATCCTTTGCAGGCTCCCGCTGCGGCGAAGGAGGTCAAGGGCCTGCTTGCCGCTTGCCGAGCTTTGTGGGGGCTTAGGTGGAAAGTGGTCTTGGGTCAGCTGAAGAATTTGACTGCAACCCGGCAGTTTAGGGGAAGGTCCGTGCCGGAAGTTCGGTGCAGTAGTTGTGTTCCCACAAGAGCACGTGGCCCAAGATCAGCTAGAATGAGCTGAGGCGAAAGCGAGGCCAACCGAGAAGAAGGAGGCATACCCGAATGCTTACGAGATCCGAGGAAACTGCTTAGCTTTGTGACCGTGGCATCTTTATCACCGAGAGTAGACATAGCAGGTTTAGGGTTTAGGGTTTAGGGCACGCGCAGCACTGTCGTGATACAAGCACCAGCCAACTAGTTGAGTTCACATTGGAACGAATGCTCCTGGAAGGCAAGGGGCTAGAGCCACGGTGCAAACGCCATCGTTCGTTGTTATAACTATAGTATAATAAGTATAATATGCCACAAACCCTGTTCCAATTATTGTGTACCTTCTTTGTAGTTAGTATGATGCAGACTTGGCATTTTCCAGCACAGGAGTCCCCAGACTTGACTGCTAGCAACTGCAGCCGAGGAATAAACAGTGAACGCGACCCCTCATTGGTCAGCATTATCTTGATACCGGCAGTTTCCTGATAATAGCAATCGTCCATGTCGCGGCAAGAAAAGTGAATAGTTTTAACAAAATGAGAAGCTAATAATCAGCAACTGGTAGTAGAACTAGCAATGGCCGTAGGATTGTAGACAGCAGCAGTAACGGCCGTAGTCATAGCCCCCCCCACACAAGGCAATTAATTAGTGATAACAGCAACATTCACGATGACCACATCGAGTTTGGTAAGCATCACCATCCTCGTAACCTTGATCGTTCATCATAGAAAGGGTTTGGGGTTTAGGGTTTAGGGTTTAGGCTGCCATGCGCACGGTAACCTGGACAACCATACTCATCATCGTAGCTACGAGCTTGCTGGCCATGCCAATCACTGGGATCCTTACAGCAGCTAGCAGCTAACATGCGTACCTGGTTTTCCAGGCTCTTCTATCCATCAGGGCCCCGACTACCAAGCCCGGTTTAAGGTCTTAGGCAGTTTCAGAGGGTAGAAGCGCTTAGAAAGAACCATAGATCTGGACCTTGCGGCGTTTCTCTGCTGCTTCTGAAGGTTTACCACATCAGCCATTCCTGAAGCAGGAACACAAACCGGGGCCAACGCCAACACAGAAACATTTAAACTCGAAGGCCCTAAACCCTAAACCCTGAAGCCGTAACACCCTAAATCCTGAAGCTCCGAAGCCCCAACACCCAACCCTAAACCCTAAGACCCAAGCCCTAAACCCTAAACCCTAAACCCTAAACCCTAGCACCCCAAAGGTGGCGGCAGCAGACGCAGACGAGATCGAGCAGCTCACGGACGATGTGACTCGCTAAGGGAGGTCCGGTTTGGGGGTTTTGAAGGCCTAGAAAGTCAGGGTTTAGGGTTTACGGTTTAGGGTTTAGGGTTTAGGGTTCAGGGGTTGCTTGTGAGCTGCCCGTGCAATGCCTTGCCAGTTGCAAGTGCGTATTGAGCGCGACGAGGACGACAGAACCAAGGTCAGCATGGTGGAAGCTGCACGATGTGGGGACCCGAACACGGTGACTTGGGAACTCAGGGGATCTATGGTGCGGATGTTTTAGCTTCGTTACCCTGATCATGCATCATAGCTGCCGTAGGCTACGTGTAGTAATCTGATCAACCATGGCCATCACCATGACCATGATCATGGTGGGCAAACCAACAAGAGACCTTTTTTTTTATACCATTCTTGAAGAGTTTCTAGGGTCTCTTGGCGATCCGGACCGTGACTACAAAGCCTGGAGCCCCTCTACTCGTTCAGTTCTTCGTGTAAGCCTCGCTCCTGTGCAGTGTCTCTTCTGCTTTCTGGGGTTTACGACATGGTCGATCCCTGAACCAGGAACCCAGAGACTCCAATATCCCTTAAGTAAGGAATTTATTTTAAATCATATTACGGGTCCTACTATAATTTAAGGAATATTCCTTAATTAAGGGGTATTGGAGTCTCTGGGAACCCCAACCCGCCGAACACCACCGCCACAGAGGCGAAACATCCCCAAAGCCTGAAACTTCTAAAGCCCGCCAAGGTGCCGGCAGCAGACCCGGACGAGACAGAGCAGCGAAAAGACGATGTGACTCTGCTTGCTCAGGAGGGGTTCAATTGAGGAGGCGTTGTTTGAAGTTGGGCTTTGGGTTTTAAGGCTTAGGGGTGCGGGTTTGCGGGGTTGCTTGTGGGGTATTTGTGTAATGCGTGCACTTCCGTGTTTTGTCCAAGACAGACTTTGCAAAGGCGCACGCATGTGAGTGTATAGGTTTAGGGTTTAGGGTTAGGGTTCAGGGTTTGGGGTATATATAGGGTTTAGGGTTTGGGGTTTAGGGTAACTTAGCAAACTTTGCAGGCGAGTACAAGTGCCGGGAGCGACAAGGAGAAAAACGAGGAAAGCTCGGAGGGAGGTGCACGACTTGGCGACCTGAACAAGGTGACTTGGGGGAAATTCAGGGGGCCCCGAAAGAAATTTTGTTTCAGGGCACTGAACGGGCATCATGCGTGCCATATGGGGGTTTCCGAAAACAGGGGACCCTAATATAGTACCCTAAATAATAGGATCCTTATTATAAGGACCCCAAAATAAGGTACCCTTAATTTTCGGAGGATCCCATATACCTCTTATACTTTCATTGCCGTAACCATGGTCATGCCGGGCATACTCAGTACCGGCATCTAGATGATGTAGGGTTGTCTAGGGTTCTTCGTGGTCAAGCCCCGGCCACCAAGCCCTGGTTTAGGGCAGCTTTAGGGCATAACGCCTAGAAGGAACCATCGGACCTGAACCCTGAACCCTAAACCCTAAACCCTAAACCCTAAACATCGGACCTGAACCTTACAAACCCTCCAGGCTCAGCCCGGCCAGTCAAAGCTTTTCTTTCAGGCCTCGCCCACTATTGCAGTTTCTCTTCGGCGTTTCGGGGTGCCTTCTCTTCGGCGTTTCGGGCCAGACGAGACCGAGCAGCAAAGAGAGGATGTGACTCTGAGTGCTCAGGAGGGGTTCAGGAGCCAGGTGGGTTGCTTGAAGTTCAGCTTAGAATAGCGCTTATACTTATAGTAAGATGGATCTGCACCCTACAAACCCTGCACCCTCAACCCCACTACCCTCAGTTTTCCTGCAGACCTCGGCCCCTGCAGTTCCCCTTCTCCTTTTTGGGGTTTAGGGAGGGTTTAGGGTTCAGGGGTATGTTTAGCACCGTGGAGTTTGGGTTTGCGGCGGGTTTGCGTCGCCGATCCCGAGGTTTGAAGGCTTGGGAGTCAGAGTTAACGGGTTACTGTTGCGGTACCGGTGTAATGTGTGATAATGCGTGCACTTCGATTTTTGTCTAAGACGGACGGAGGACGTTGAGAAGACTTGTCAGATGAGTACGAGTGCTGAGAGCGATAAGGAAGAGAAGGAGGAAAGCTTGGTGGAAGCTGCACGATGTGGCGACCTGAACAAGGTGACTTGGAGAAATTGGGATTGGTTCTAAAGGTACGAACTGTTTTGCTTGGCATATATGTGTCCTCCAAAAGATCTCGAAGGTGAAGGAGCTCTTGGCCATCAATTGCGATCCAGAATTTTTTTGCAATGCCTGGGTGAGTGGTCAAGAGACTTTCGCAAACAGAGCGCCGGCTGCCGATAACTCGGGGACCAGGCCCCTAATTGCAGCTGCCGTCTCAGGGCACAGCCATGTTGCGTGGGAGCTCTTACAGTACAGAGCTGATGTGAATGCCAGAGATTCCGATGGACTCACAGCACTCTCCGCGGCTTTGTGCTCACCGGATTGCGACATCCACATGTGGTTTCTTCTGCACCACGCAGCGGATCAGAAGCCAAAGAAGCCTGATCAGAGCTCGGACGCTCAAACAGACATCCGAAATGATGATGAGCGGACCTTGCACATGCCCTCGAATGCTCAAGCAAACATCCGGGAAGATCAGAAGCCAAATCAGAATTCGGACACTCAACAAGGAGACATCCGAGAGGCTGAGTTCTTGCACCTGCTCGGGAACACGAGCGCAAAAACGATGGCAGACATCCGGGCGGATGAGAAGCGGACCCTGCGCATGCTTGTTACGCTGCTGCGTGGAGAGGGGGAGTTCTACACGGAAAAGGTGGGTAGTTATCAAAATTCTGGTTCCTTTTAGGGTACCCTAAATAATAGGTGCCGTATTATAGTATGGACCCAAAAAAGGACCATACTTTTGACAACCACCCAGGTGAAGAGCTTGCTGAAAGAGGCCGGCCTCTCTTTTGATTAAGCTGCTAACCTGAGCATGTTGCGGAGGACAGGCATACCAAAGAAAGAGCACTTGGGAGGAATAGGACATGGGTGAGAGAAAGAGACGAGAGAGAGAGGGAGAGAGAGAGAGAGAGAGAGAGAGAGAGGGGGAGAGAGAGAGAGAGAAAGAACCCAAAACCCTAAACCCTAAACCCTAAACTCTAAACCCTTTGGATTGAAGTACAAACCAAACGCCTCTTCCCAGACTGCTGGAACCACACCGCAGCCCCCCTAACAGGACCACGCTGGAAGTATATTCTAGTGCACCGGAAGTTGCGGAAATCGTCTTTCGAGTTGGCGCCAAAGCGCGCACTCACAGAGCGCGCAGGGCCGCCCTAAAAAAACCCGAAACCTTAAACCCTAAACTCTAGGATCTGGGTCTTTTTTT